TTAAATTTGAAAAGAATTCCACCTTAAACATCATCCATACTCCTCATCATCCAGTTGGTCAGTGCCGCTCCCAAATATTGACCATGTTATAGGAAACTGATGAAGTGTCGACAGTTTCCAGCTCTGTTATTCAATAAGTTAATTTTTTCCTAACAAACGGACTTGCATCCTGGAATTTTTGTCGGCCAAACGAGCTCCCGGATACGGGGCTTTGACGTTCACGGCCGTAATTATCACAGCTCGTGCCCGTTAAAATGCTTCCACGCGGGCTTTTTGGACGTTTTAATTGCCGAGCGTCAGTTGCAGTCAACGCTCGGGCCTTTAACTTTTCGTTTGCAGCGTCACTCTCATAAAATTTCATGAGTTAGCATCCATTTGCACTGCAGCAGCTGTGCAGTTCAGTGTTGTGTTGCAGCAGCTGTGCAGTAGGTGCAGTGCAGTGCTGCAGCAGCTGTGCAGTGTAGTGCAGTGTTGCAGCAGCTGTGCAGTGTAGTGCAGTGTTGCAGCAGCTGTGCAGTGTAGTGCAGTGTTGCAGCAGCTGTGCAGTGCAGTGCAGTGCTGCAGCAGCTGTACAGTGCAGTGCAACAGCAGCAGTGTAGTACAGTGCTGCAACAGCTGTACAGTGCAGTGCAACAGCAGCAGTGTAGTGCAGTGCTGCAGCAGCTGTACAGTGCAGTGCAACATAGTGTAGTGCAGTGCTGCAGCAGCAGCTGTACAGTGCAGTGCAACAGCAGCAGTGTAGTGCAGTGCTGCAGCAGCAGCTGTACAGTGCAGTGCAATAGCAGCAAGGCAGTGCAGTGCTGCAGCAGCTGTACAGTGTGTAGGATGTATACTGTAGCAGCTGTGTAGTATGATGGGTATTAGCTGTAACAGCTGTACAGATGTGCAGCGTGTTTTTGCAGCATTTAAGCTGTGTTTGTGGGCTGTTCTGCGCAGTGTTCGGTCAGTGTTCCGGTGTTGTTCCCTTGTGTATTAACATAGCATTACAGTTTCCGGGTATTAATCCTGTGCAGCTATTTTCAGTGTTTAAGCTGTGTGTGTAATTAGTATCTCGCAGTGTTCGGGCTTTGTCCAGCACTGTTCTCTTCAGTATTTAAGCTGTCTTCTCAAGCTGTTCCCCGCAGTGTTCGGGCTTTGTCCCAGTACTGTTCTCTTCAGCATTTAAGCTGTGTTCTCAAGCTGTTCCCCCCAGTGTTCGGGCTGTCTTCCACGCTGTTCATGTCCGCCATGCAAGCGTTAATGTGTCCGACGTAAAGTTGATGGCCGTACTCAAGAGGACAGATGGCCGCACTTTCTTATCGTCCGCTCCTTATCAAAGTTGGTGCACATCTTTAAGTTACTTCAAAAAATGTTCAAATTTGACGGAGGATGATCTTAAACGTAAGCTTTTAATTTTCAATCTTTCGTTTTTTTTTTATCAATTATTAGGATGGACGGAAGCGAATAAATGTTTCGTCAAAGTTTTAAAAAATTTACTCAGTTTCCTATAAGCCCGACCAGAAATATATTATCGTTTTTACGATGGGATCAAAAGTACGTCATAAATATTCTCAAGTGAAGCATCCATTTTATGGTCAGAAGTGAGCGGTACCTACAATATACACGTGTCTGCATCGACCATATCTCCATGCGAGCATTTCACTAAATTCCAGCCGACAAACAGCGGCCAAATGCCAGACTCGCCATTCCCTGAAGTCGCCAGGAATAACATGTGTTTGAAAATGATGGCTCAACGCGATAGGTAGGGCCTAGTCTGCGCTGAAAATTTTGGTCCACGTTCAAGTTTAATAATAACGTTTTAGGAAATACACTTGACAGAAATTAAAGAACATATTGAATTACTGATGGATAATTGAATTATTAATACTATTTACGACTGGCCAGTCATCTGACCTCGATGTGAGTCAAAGTTGATGAGCCAATATTTTTTATTTAGTTGAAGCGAAAAATTGAAGTCGCCCACATTTTTCTATGCTTGTAATTTTAGTTTATCTCCAGTTAAGGTTTTAGCCCTGAGAATAATTCAAGGATTTCTATGTGAAAAAATTTCAGGTTGAAAGCCTACAAGCTGAATTTAAACAGTTTGATGAGAAATCAATGTACGCGAATGAATGCAAATGAATGTACGTGAATGAATGCAAATGAATGTGCGTGAATGAATGCAAATGAATGTACGTTTATGAATGCAAATGAATGTTTGTCTATGAATGCAAATGAATGTACGTGAATAAATGTACGTCTATGAATGCCAATGAATGTACGTGAATGAATGCAAGTGAATGTACGTGAATGAATGCAAATGAATGTAATGCATAACACGGTACACTAACACGTAATTGTTCGGAGGTAGAGTTAGCAATTTAGCGAGCAATATTTGCCGTGCAATATCGCAGAACCAGCCCATTCGTTCTCACCTGCAGACTTTTATAATTAAGGCTTCAGTAAATTACTGGCCAACACTTGCCCCTAATGAACGCCTCTCTAAAGCGCCTAGAGGCGCTGCACTAACTGTTCTTGCTAATATGCCAGCCTCTTAGCTAACTGTCCTGTCTTCTTATCGTATTTTTGCTGCCAGCCTCTTAGCTAACTGTCCTGTCTTCTTATCGTATTTTTGCTGCCTGTCTCTTAACCAACTGCGCCGTCTTCTTATCGTATTTTTGCTGCCTGTCTCTTAACCAACTGCACCGTCTTCTTATCGTATTTTGCTGCCTGTCTCTTAACCAACTGCACCGTCTTCTTATCGTATTTTTGCTGCCAGCCTCTTAGCTAACTGCGCCGTCTGTCTTCTTATCTTCTCCTTCCTTCCTGGTGTAATTTCGTTTCTATCCGCTTATCATGAGCAGCACACGTGTAGTCCTACATTAATTATTTCTCTGGACAGTGGCTTTCCTCAACAACCTCATGACACACAAATAACGTCCCTACAAGAATTATCGGATGGGAGCGTCGCTTATACTCAATTAATTTGTCGTATAGGGCTAGAATGAATCAGTCGTTCCCTGTTTAAAATTTTACATTTTTAGTTCAAATTCATAATCAAAGTAGAAAATGCTTTAGTATCAAAGTATTAATGCTTCACCACTAAAAAAGACCTCGGTTACGAACAAGTTTTTTTCATCGAGTTGCAGATGGATTTCTTTCCTTTAATTTATTAATTCTTAAGTTCTATGATGATTGCAGCTTCAGCTTCCTGCCCGCGGATTGAAGCGAGGTTAAATAACGTTAATTCTATACTTTCCACAGGAAAAACTTTTTGTATCTACGGTTTCTTTTTCAAATTATGCATATTACCGAGTTTCTTCAATATGGGTTTTCTATCACTTGGGGATTTACATTTCACGGCAAACTCCACGTCTTATCCTTCTCATATCCTTGTCATATCCTTTTCACATCCTTGTCATATCCTTGTATCCTTGTCATATCCTTGTCATATCCTTGTCATATCCTTGTCATATCCTTGTCATATCCTTGTCATATCCTTTTCACATCCTTTTCACATCCTTGTTATATCCTTGTTATATCCTTGTCATATTCTTGTCATATCCTAGTTTCTCCTGGGGTCATGTTCTGTATTTGCGTCTTGGCTCATGTGAAGCAGCAAGTTAAGTATTCCAGGCAGGTTTTGGAGGCAACTCAAGTTCTTCAACTTGATGGCTGCGCTATGCCTTTTAGGCTCGGAGGAAAACGCCTGCACGCTGAGCCCCTGAATGCTGAGCCCCTGAATGCTTAATAGCATATCTTTGATACAAGGTTTTAGTGGAAACTTAGAGCAAAGAAAATTCTACGTAAATGTATATCTTTTTAATTTATATCTTTTTTATAAAGATATGATAAATTTTCGTGTGATATTCTATGATTTTAATATCTGGCAAATTAGCGATTCAAGCAAATGAGTGCCATTAAAGTTTTAGTGGTGCTTTCTTAACGTATAAATTTTGCTTCTATGAATATTTAATAACCGTTCCCTTGTCTGGTTATAAGCTCCATTTGCGAGGCCTCGTGACAACGAAACGCTGAAACTGAGAAAACATTTCGTGGATATGAAATTCACGAATGGTCAGTAAAATGTTTTAATATAACAAATCATTGTTATGAAAAGTGATTTCGAAGCTTATGCGTTATTTGCTAACAGTTTACTCTATATATACGTGTTAACGGTTCAAAATTAGTTTATTTACGCAAATATTCTAATGTTATTATTATTCACCCATGTAAATGCGGGCGTTATTTAATTACTTATTCGCAGAAAATTCGACCTGAAGGCGTAATTGATTGATGTCTAAATGGATTAATACTTGCATAAATTATATCACAAAATAAATACACATTTATTAAAACGCGATTATGCAATAGTGTATATGTAACTAGAAACACTAAATAATATTTCAGAACAGTTAATATTAATGTTATTTTGTTCTGCGCAAGCCACGTGAGAGAAATGAGTGCGTTTTGTGCGGGGGCGTGTACACTGAGACAAATGAATGGGTCGTGTTGTTCCAATCTCGATACACTTGCTTATTCGGAGAGCTGACGCAGCACGGATAAGCTCTTTACCGTTGTTAACGGAACCATACTCGGTCGGGATGACCCACACAAGGGTAAAAAGTGAGTCGCTGTTTAGACATAGTTGCACTGATTTGTCCGAGTGTATCGTGACGTGAAACATGACATTTGTAGCAGCCTAAATGGCATGATGGCGTTCGAGATGAACTAAATGGCACGTAAATCAGCTCAGCGATTTTGCCATTACCAGCGATACAAGACTGCGACGAAGGGCAGAGCTTGAAAGCATAAATCCCCTCAGATTTAAACGTCGGTGAAGGCGCATGACAATGCTGCGTGAGCGCATGGCAATGCTGCGTGAGCGCATGACAATGCTGCGTGAGCGCATGGCAATGCTGCGTGAGCGCATGGCAATGCTGCTCCCCGCGATGCCTGATTTCGACATTAATGCGGAGAAGTCGTGACGCGTTAGGAATTTTTATTGACATTCTATGGGGCTAGGGGATGTGGGGCTTAGGGGTCGTAGGAACAGTAGGGCTGTGGGGCCGTAGGGACCATCGGGCTGTGGGCTGTGGGGGCATTAAGGTCGTAGGAACCGTGGGGCTGTATGGTGGCAGAGACCGTGAGGTTGTGGGGCCGTAGGGATCGTGGGGCTGTGGGGTCGTAGGGACCGTGAGGTTGTGGGGCCGTAGGGACCGTCGGGCAGTGGGGCCGTAGGGACCGTGGGGCTGTAGGGACCGTGGAGCTGTGGAGTCGTAGGGACCGTGGGGCTGTGGAGTCGTAGGGACCGTGGGGCCGTAGGGACCGTGGGGCTGTGGAGTCGTAGGGACCGTGGGGCTGTGGGGTGGCAGAGACCGTGAGGTTGTGGGGCCGTAGGGACCGTCGGGCTGTGGGGCCATAGGGACCGTGGGGCTGTGTCACTCAGCTACTCTAATTCACGTCATACAGCGCAGTGTCCAGGGCCTATACTTTCAAAATTCGCTAAGTGAACGTAAGTATTTACGCTCTATTTTCTTGTCTACGATTGGTGGATTTTGCTTGAAAGGCCGTCAATGATTGGCTGATGAACTTACGATCTCTTAATTTTTTTTAAAGTATAGGCCCAGGTCTCCTATAACGACTTAAGAATTTTAACTTTTACAACCGGTTTTTCTGACTTACGAATTTCAGAATCCTTCTATATATTACAACATGAGCCTAGCTTAACTGTTGCACTCAGTTCTTATCCCCTTGAGATTGTTAACACTTAACAGACAGGCCAGTCTTGCTGCGTTATTTTAGGTTTATCTGTCTTTTATTTCATTAATTTTAGGTTTTAATGTGTGAATTTTAGATTATTAACTGATGGTATTTACTTTCTAGTATTGTCGAACTAACGACGGAGCTGGACTCCGAAACGTTTTTCTTTATCATGATATGGGGAATTTTTGTGCCGTTTTATTTTGTAAATTCCCTGTTAATTTGCAATTTAAGCAATCAAGTGATCTTATAGTGTTGTCACTATTTGTGTAGTGGGTAAAAAATTGTTGGTATTCGGACAATATAACTAATTCATTGTTTCTCAGTGGATAAAAACCAATCTTTTATGTTGTATGTGCTCTCAAATGCTTATGAAAGGATATACTGTACATTGCACATAATTTTCTCTCGCTGCCGCCCGCTCACTATCCGCCAATTATACTCGGTAGGTCTTCATGTACTATTTACTTTGTTGAGATAAAGTCTTACTGCTATAGGTTTATCCAATGGCCGACTAACTATTATTTTACTTGATTTGTTTAGAAGTCATTTGTAGAACGTGGGCAACATTCTAAAGAGAAAGGTTAACCTTTAAACGCTGTGAATCTAAGCTGGCTTTTACCGCTAACCTTTAACGTTGTTAAGGTTCATTCCGCGCGAGTTATTCAGGACGTCGATTGTGTAGACTGCAGGATTTACTTGACCGACCATAAAGAATTTTGTTGGTTTATCAGTTCGTTCAGACTTCACTTCGTTATTTTATTGTTGTTGATAATATCAACATGCGTTTCAAACACGTATCAATTCCTTTTTAGAAAGTAGCAGTTGAAATTTCTATTTTATGAATTCAATCAAGAAATTAGTTGATTATCTTCAAAGTGGAGAGTAGTGTATTTACGAGATTAAATTTTCAATTTTTATATTTTAGAGTCGACATTTCCAGTTATTGAGCTTGATGTTACTACCTCTTATTTATATAGAATATTTACACAACGCTTGAAGTTAAAGCATTTCTTTGAGATATATTTTATGGATGTCGCTGAAGCTGATATTAAAAAATTCTATTTTGAATTAATTATTGAATGGTTTTCAGCGGCAGTGCAAGTTTAGCACTCACCACAGCCGCTTTAATTATGGACGATTGAAACTTGGCTGTGACCGAAACTTAATCATTCGAAATTAAAGATGCGACTTTTAATTCTCTTGTCCCCGAATGAATTTTTTATTCTGATTTAGTAACGATTTCGTCGTAGCTTTTGCTTTTTGTAAACGATATCGTCGCTATTTTTGGTTTCACTTCACATAATAATTACAGGTCTCTATAAATTATATCGTCATTATTATAGAGCGGCTCCCCGCGATGCCTGATTTCGACATTAATGCGGAGAAGTCGTGACGCGTCAGGAATTTTTATTGACATTCTATGGGGCTCAATGCTGCGTGAGCGCATGGCAATGCTGCGTGAGCGCATGGCAATGCTGCGTGAGCGCACGGCAATGCTGCGTGAGCGCATTGCAATGCTGCGTGAGCGCATGGCAATGCTGTGTGAGCGCATGGTATTCTATTGGACGATGTCGCTTGCAGTTTGTAGGCATTCAGGAACATTTGAAGAAGAATTGAGCGAGTATTTTTGCCCAGCCAAATGCAGTGCTGCGGCGGCGCTCGCGCCCACTGATTACATTTGCATGGCTGATCTGGCCCCGTGGGTTATATGGCGCGTGAGTCCACTATGAGAAATGAGTGAGACTTTGTCCAACTAGTGAAGCGCTTTTTGCGTTTGTGTGGGTCATCCTGACACAGTTTGGTTTGTTATAGGGCGTATCAGTATCATTTCCGCTCTCTGCTCGTGCTGTGGGTAAGAGAGTGTGCCGCTGTTTGGACTGTTTGGACTGTGTGCCGCTGTTTGGAGTCTGTTAATGTCGCTGTGACCTATTTATTTTTCCCAGTGTTACTTGAAGTTGAATTGATTCATCAAGTTAGGTGATATTGGATGTTAAATCTTTGTAGTTATTAACATGAACGCATTTAGGAAATTGCGGTAAGTTCAGCCGTTTCCAACACCGAACATCACCTTACTCCAGGATTTCTTTCGCTTTTTAACAGTGCAGCGGCTGTATTAATTTTATAGTTGTTAGTTAAACCGTTTCAGAATTTGTGTTTTCCGTTAATAACTGCATCGATTCAACACAGAATATCATTTAAATCAATAAATCGATTCAATTCCTAACTGCTAGGTGTCTTCATCAATTTTACATTATCAATTCAGCCGTTAACCGCAATCGTGTCTCACTGGTGAATACTTATAGTGACCTCTGCTATATATAGTTTTCCATCCAAGATTCGGTTTTTAATAAATTGGAAATTACTGTCGGAGAAATGAGAGGGGCATTGTCCAAAACGCGATGCACTTTTGCCATTGTGTAGGCCACCGTGACCTAGTTTGGCCTGGCGAAATAGCGTATTATTGCTACTCCCGCTCACTATTCGTATATCAGAAAGACAGGTTGTAGAAGCTGTTTGCGTGAGGTCATATTTTATTCTAGAGTGGGGGAGCATAAAGGAAGGAGTTTTCGAACAGGGAATCTACTTGCACATCCCCCTCACTCAGCTGCTCGAATTCACGTCGTAAAGCGCAGTGTCCCGGTCTGTGATAACGACTTAAGAATTTTAACTTTTACAACAGGTTTTTCTGACTTACGAATTTCAGAATCCGTCTATATATTTCAACATGAGCCTAGCTTAACTGCGGTGCCCAGTTCTTATCCCCTTGAGATTGTAAACAGTCTTGCTGTGTTATTTTAGGTTTATTTGTCTTTTATTTCATTAATTTTAGGTTTTAATGTGTGAATTTTAGATTAATAACTGATGGTATTTACTTTCTACTATTGTCGAACTAACGACGGAGTTAGACTCCGAAACGTTTTTCTTTATCATGATATGGGGAATTTTTGTACCGTTTTATTTTTGTAAATTCCTTTTTAATTGACAATTTAAGCAATCAAGTGATATTATAGTGCTGTCACTATTTGTGTAGTGGGTATAAAATTGTTGGTATTCGGACAATATAACTAATTCATTGTTTCTGATTGGATAAAAACCAATCTTTCATGTTGTATGTGCTCTCAGATGTATGAAAGACTATACATTGTTCATAAT